ACATAACCAGTAAGTAATACTACTAGAAAAATGAGTGTCAAAAATAATTATAAGAGACAGAAATGTTATCTATCAATTAAAACACTATAACCAATAGCCATATGGCTATCGTTATGCTATTTCAAGAAAAATTAAAAACAATAATCAACAGCCACTGGCTATCTATTATGCTTATAACCCAAGAAAAAAAAATTCAAGAATTTAGTATAAAATCCATAAATAAATTTATATTTTTGCTATTACTTATCATTAAAATTGTAAAAACTAAATTCGGTGATAAAATCATATCCCACAACAATATGTACAATTAAAATAATAAATTTGAGAGTAATAAAATCTAAAATATTATTCAAATTAATAATATAAGAAGTAATGAACAAAAAAGTTAAATTTCAAGTAATTTATCTAAAAAAAAAGAAGCTAAATCTGCAAAGGAAAAAACATTATTCTACACTATAATTTTATTAAGGTTAATAAAAATGATATTAAAACATTAATTACAAATAAAATGAGAATTTACCTCAAAACATTTTTCTTTGGTAAGCTTAATATGTAATTTGCAAAAAAATAATAAGTATTTATTAGTAGATGATCAGGTATATTATTAAGGTAATTTGGATGATTAATGGAAAAGGATAAAGAACAAATCAAAGAATGAAATAAGATGGAGGACTACAACCAAATAAAGAAATTGGGGAAGGTTGGAAGGATGAAAGAAAAATAAGCATTTAGTTATAGAGACATGAAATTGCGTAAAAAATTTAAACCATATGCATGGTTAGAGTTAGAAAAGGAGAAGAAGAGAGATAAAGGAAAATGAAAAGTAGAAGAAGAAGTAGAAAGAAAAAAGGGAGAAATAGAATTGGGGTGCCGTGTATAGGAAGGAAAGAGGAAGGGAGAGAGAAGATTTCAAAAGAAGTGATATGTAATCATTCTGAAATTGGGTATATAAGGGGATATGTTTAACAAAAATTCTATCGGTTATATTAAAAAAAGATTGTCGATTTTATTTTAAATTGGACCAATCACACGAATTCAATTTTTGGCCAATTTTTTTGGCAGATTCTCGTATGATCAACAACCACCAAAGGTTGTCAGTTATGTTATATAACCAACAATGTACCTGTGAGTTATATCAACAGACCTTTGGCAATTAGTTATACATAAAGAAATTCAAACATTCTGGAATATGGATACTCATACTTCTCACTTGCATTTCAAGGCCAAACACGAAAGCCAAAAAACCAGATTCTTAGCCATTAGAACCCTAGGTAAATTGATAGTAATGTGCCATTTCTTTAAAATTAACATTTTATGCTTAATACCAATGTCTTCATAGAGTTCAAGATTAGTCAAAGGTAGCTCAATTGCCTCTTTCCTCTTTAATCTCTTGAATCTGGGCATCCAAAGCCCCTATATCAACATAAGACTCCTATGGAGCCTTTTCAACCTTTATAACTGACACCATTGGATCCACTTCATCTTGCAGAATCCCAACAACAGGGAGAACCTAAGAATAGAAAATAAACAATACATAGCATAAATATCTATTAAAAAATAAATATAATGCAATGAAATTAACAAATCTTAAACTTGTAAGGGACACCTATGGTTTAAGGGAAGACTAGATTTTCAAAAGCAATGGTTCCTTTCCATATTCCAAAAACACCAAATTGGGACAAAGATTTGTGTATGTATTCCTAATTTTCTAACGGAAAAACAAGTAAAGATTACTAATTGAGCTTTCGGTTGAGGGAATTGATGGTAACTTAATAAGAAAACATCAGAAATATAATTTTTATTAATATACTTTAGTTTAACTAATTTTATCACCCAATAGCTTTTTAAATAGTTGTTTGTACCATTTAGAAACTATAGATTCATTTCAAATAGATATTAGTTGTTAGCTTTTTCTAATAACCAAATCAAACATAGCAAATATTAATTTAGATCTATGACTTGACTAGTCCTAAGAGCACATGCAAACCACTCTATCCACATGTATAGAGCAAAACTCTATCAAATGTGGTGAGCTGAACTCATTATAAATTATATGCATTCAAAATTCAAATGAAGAAATAGAGAAATTGGAATTTGTTAATTCCAACGTGATAATGTAACTCCTTACAAGGGTGAATCCACCCCCCCCCCAAAAAGGTTAAAACATATAAATATTAGTGATACGTAAAACAATATCTTATATAGAAAAACAAAAGTGATAATTATGCTAACTAGTAAGAACATTTGTTATCAATCATTATTACTCATGTAAGGTTATGATAAAAATATTAAGTAAATAAACTTGAGAAAATTTAGCAATGAAATTAACAAATCTTAAACTTGTAAGGGACACCTATGGTTTAACGGAAGACTAGATTGGCAGAAACAATGGTACCTTTCCATATTCCATAAACACCAAATTGAAACAAAGATTTGTCTACGGCTATTTCTAACAATTCTTTAACATAGGAAAGGCTAAAACCATCGGACCCAAAGAACTCCTACACTGGATCAAGGAAAGTCCCTCATTCTTCACTAAGTACTAGCTCTAGAACATAAAAATGCTACAACAGATCCCAAATTGGCAAATAGCAAGAAAACTAGTTCAAAATAGAAGAAAGTGTCAACAACAAAATTCTACATTTAAATGACTAGCAAGCTAAACCTAAAAAACCAGGAAACAAGCAAAAAATATATACCATACCATATATGCCATATCATAGGTACCTAAGTAGGTGGTGATAAATGATCAAATCTGGATCCACCAAGCTATGAAGGACCAACAATTTATGATGGCAAAAAGCTTATAGATGCATATTGTTGGCTAAGTATTGCAGTATGCTCTTGAAATCTCCTATCAAAAGTGGCCTCAATTTCTAAAACTCTTTGTGGTTCCTTTGATTAAATCCGTGTAGCCTCTGATTGTAATCGCTTTGCCATTTCTTCCCAAACTTGTGTGAGCTCAAACTGCAACTGTTGGACCTGCGTCGTAAGCATCCTGGTGGTAGAGAATGAGCCTCACTATTCTCATATCATTGCCACAGTATGCCATGCTTTGCTCAGTCCTAAAGTGTGGACAACCCTCTCATTTGACCCTTTTTAAGGGGTTTGACTACATCTTTCCAAATTTCTAGATCACACCCTAGCCATACCTCCTTCTTTGGCCCATGCTTCTCCACGTACTTTTGGTTAGCAGCATTCTATTTCAAATATAAATTTTCACTAGTTAGAATAATTTAAATTGTGTTAGTATTAATAATAATAAATATCATCAAGGAAGTCGATACTTACATATGTCTGCTCAGCCTCTGGACACACCCAAACTAGTGGTGCATCTCCTTGACCTTCAAGCCTCTAAGTCATGTAAGTATATAGGTACCACTTTAGTTGTGTTGGCCTAACTCCTCCTCTTTTTGTTGCCTATTAAAAACATCAATAAAATTAAAAATTTATAACATTCAACATTATGTATAAAAGTATACATAAAAAGGCATATAATACTAACCAATTGATCTTTATAGATCCCAATTAAAATGCATCTAGTAGTGTGGGTCAGACAAGGACCCTATGCATCTAGTAGTGTGGGTCAGACAGGGACCCTTCGCTCAGTTTAGTCGTTCCCTATCTTGCAATGCCATATATTGTGGGCTTCTCCACTTTGCTAACAAGATTTTGAAGGTTTCTATATGCATGAACTCAAGTAATTTCTTGAAATTGTCCCATCTCTTTCAAATTAGATGAAGCTCATCTTGAAAACAGTTTCAACAATACTCTCTCCATATTCTATGTACACGAGCATTATCTTCTTCCCAACAATATATCTTCTGTAATATTAAAATTGATTAAATTAATTGATAATATATTTGATTTTATAAGAAAAGGGGCAAAGTTTCACCAAAAATATCAACTTTTTCCTTGTTAATCATAAAGAAAATGAACATTTAATATATCAAACACATTCATACCATGATCACTCATACCAAATCATAAGCAACAACATGACAATAATCAAGATCTCAACTATTTAAAACTCATCTATATGAAAATCAATGGATAACATGAAACACCCATGTCCTAAGGTGTAAGATTTTATAAGTTTTAATTTTATCCTTAAATATTAGTTTCATTAAGTTAAGGAAGCTAGGCAAAAAACTAGAACCTGATTTGACTAGCTCTCACAAGTTGTTGCTAAAAGATAATAAAAATAAATATATAATTACATATATATCAAATAGAAGATCTAAGTGAAACTCATTAAAAATCCGTAACTTTGTCTAGAACTATTTACATGGTTCCAAATAAGACTTATTATTTTAAATTCTAATTTTCTAGTACCAAACGAAGGAAAAACAACAAAAGAAGGAGGCTTTGCAACCCAGAACCAGTAGCAAGTTTAAGAAAACCTCAAGTGTTGCTAGGAAACTATGGGTTTTTGTACTATGCATTTTATACATAAAATTATGTTACCATGTAAACAATATAAGATTGGACTCTTCCCTTTTTGTTTATCATAATCAAACTATCCAAGTCCTATTTGTTTTTCTACTATAAATATTTTGCATATAAATATTTTTAAGCCCCAAACTCATTAAGTTGTGATATGGAAATTCCTATGATCAACAACTTCTCAATGTGGGGAAAAGTTTTAATGAGGTAAATGTTGTGTCTCCAACTTAGGCCTAAATAATTTACCTATACTAGGATGCAACATTTAGATTAGCTTTTATTTTAAAAAAAAAGAAAAAAAAAAAGAGTAGAGTTCTACCTAAACTATCCACTTTTTCCTGTTAGTCATAAAGAAAAAACAAATTTAAATTATCAAACACATCCATGTTATGATCACCCACTCCAAATTCTAAGCATCAACATCACAATAATCAAGATCTCAACTATTT